CGATCGAGAGGGAGCCCGCCCGATGTATGGATGCCGATACACGAGTACTGCATTACTCGGTTCGGTAAGTCTCGGGTAAAACGCTACTGAATCACACAGATAGGCTCCGACGGTAGAATTCGGGCTCATATCGGGCCTGAGCGTCGATAACTAATGAGAAGAAACGCGCGCGATAATCCCTGGGACAATCCCTAATCGTGATCCCCTCTTAATTTAAGCTAACGACTTGCCGCGCGAAGTATAGTTTTATACTCTGTTGTAAATTGCAATTATCGCTCTCAGATTGATTCAAATTTAATCCGTTTAGTCGAAAATGCCACAAGAGTAGATTGCCGTTTTTATATTCCTTATATAAATATTGATATAATATTTATTTATATTTTGAAATCAAGATGCCCCTGAGAGAAAAAAGGATTCGAATTTATCACTCATTGCTGAAAAAGTTTGACTTCCATAACACGCTGTTACAAGTGAATACCGACGTCGCTCGGTGTACGCAATAAAACATTAAACTTCGCTTGAATGCTGCCGAGCGGCGTCTGATGTCTTCTCTGTGCGCCGAATAGTCTCTTTCTCCTGCGAGCTGGTAAACAGGATAATGGTTGCGGGAGGGAACACGGAGCTAAAGCGCACCCGCTTACTCACGCCGCCCCTCCCTCGTCTTCCGCTTGTTTTCTCTGTATGGAGCCGCTATCGGTCGCCGCGACAGAAAGCGCAATTATAAATACGACGGTGCGTAAGACAGAACTATCGGCCGTGGTTTTCTTTTTCCAAAAGGTACACGCGTTGCGCTACGCCCACGGGACATACATAGGCGCGTGTGACGGCAGGTGTGCGTGTAACTCTCGCCGCGGTGATAATTATCCGATACTTTTAGCCGTGGAAACGGATTGTTATTATCGTTTCCCGATATTCAATCAGTCATCGAGCCGTTTATTTTCACGCGTGACGGAACGATGAAATATGCGCCGGCATTATGGCACCGCTGAAAAAGGCGCAAGAGCGAGATTGCAACAATATTCGCAACCCGGTTGTGCATCGTTGTATGCAAACGTACGCAGCGGCTTTCCCTGAAACGCACAAAGGACTGAATTGAATAATGCTCGATGTTGCGTGGATGCTTGTATCGCTTAATTTGCTCGCTCACAGAATGTAACCGCAGAAACATTATTCGTTGAGTCATAACGAATTGTGACATACAGTATTCACTATTGAATCACGGTCGTAAAAAGTCGGAATAAAACAAAGTTATTTCATCTATTTGCACTTGACTTCTTCACATCGTTCATTTCGTATTTTCAACAGCACTTATCAAGAAAATTAACATACCCGAAAATAATGCGTCGTCAATTCTCCCCCGGCATCGGAATTATTTATAGATTCTTAATCCGAGTACCCCTCGTTATTCGACAAAGGACAATCACCAGGACCGTCGATCCTCCCGAGCTTTAGGGATGAAGAAAGATGAACCGGAGGCGAGGCGGACAAGTCCCGTCTCGGTGTAGGCGTTCCGAGCATACAGGTGCGACGGCACCGAGAACCGCGGATAACATCGCTTAATCACACGTGACTCAAGCATATGCGCTCCACCCACATCTCGTTCCGTATCTCGCGCGGATTATCTATGCAAAAATAAATAAGCTACTAAGTAACGACCGGCCACGGTCGCCCGCGCGCCGGGAAAAAGTCCGCGCGCGCCGGGTATATTACTCGTGGCTGTCGAACGATTCCGCGGCGCGTCCCGCGATATATTTTTCAGCGGTGCCGGTGGCGGTAGGGTTGTACCCTCCCGCCAAGTATCGCTTATTGATTTACAGTTGGAGATATAACCCTTCCCTTCCCTCTCTGTCGTCCTCCTTCTTCCCTTAGCGATTAACATCGGAGCTCTTGTGTTATGCGCGCGACTCGACTGGCTCCTTATTACGCCGCATTTTATTGCCCGCGATATAATCGATATCGTTAGACTGATTAATCGTCGAAAATTAAATGGTACGGCGCGCAGCGCGGCGTCTCCTTCTGACGTCTTTACAAAAGTACACGTATCGGTCGCGAGCATCGGATGCACCGTGCGCGCGCGCGCACGCGAGCGCCGCTTACATCGTAATGCACCTTCGACACAATGCCGAGACTCTCGCTTATCCATCGCGAAGAATAATGGCGATAGCCCGGGGACGGTATTCGCGTACTTTATTACGTTTCACGTGCAGCGGCGTCGATAAAAAGGTGACAAATCCTCCCGTCGACGGCGCGCGATGCATAATTGCCGCTGCGAGCGCTTCACTTTCGTTTCGGAGCACCGCGAGTTGTAATTAAATCGGCTCCAACTCGGCAATAATCGGAACATTATTAATACAAGAACACGGAACTATCAACAGCTGCAAACGCGTTCGGAGAAAGTCCCGGGGGACGGCCGTTGTGTCGTGTTTTATCAGCGACGTCGTTAAACCGTATAAAGCACGGTAAAATACGCCGGCGCGTTCTCTCACCTCGCGATGTTTAGCGACGGCGCATCGCCGCGACGGGACCTCTACGAGATCGTAAAGTAGAAACCCATTCGATCGTCACGGTGTCCATAGGCGAGAGGACCGGCGAGGCGGATCGCGTCTCGCGCGCCAACGGACTCGTCGTCCACCTTGTGGTCTCTAGCAAAGGTTTATGACCAGGTAATTGAACACCCATGTCTCTCTCGAGATTCCTCGGAGCTGATTTAAGCCGCCGTAACGCTGTGGGTATTTCCATCTACGGGGTGCCGTCGGGGAGGGGCACGCTGGGTGTCGCGGGGTGTCATCACCCCCCCACAACAGCACCCACGCGTATCGCCATTATCCTGCTCGACGGATAGGCAGTGTCTTCGACGCGGCTATTGTATTCGGAATACAAGCGAGCCCGATAAGAACCGCAAGTGTACGACGCGAGAAATCGACTCCTTTTCCGTATCTACGATTTCATTTCGGACTCACCGTCAAATCATTCGTATTAATCCAAGTGATGGTATTTATTATGGTCGGATATGTTCGCGCTATATATACACATTCCTCTAACTGTGCCGCGCGTAAAGCATCGTGAAAATCTAAGGCTCATAAATTCCAATCGGCGGCGATGCCTCTACCGTATTAGTGCCTCGAGAACGGCACGTTGTTAAAACGTAAGCCGTGTCTTGAAAAACGGGACACAATTCTGCCGTAATTCTAACACGTTTATTACCGTGTCCGTTTAGTTCCAACGTTAATTTCATCTCCAACGTCGGCCTACTTGCTCGTCTATACGCCTCGGGACTCGCTACGCCCACTATTTTTTAATAAGAAGCGTTTACTGCGCGGGCGTGACTAGCAAGTCTAGACCTACTTCTGCTCTCGGCAATCAAGTCCGAAACAAGTGCAGTTTTATTTGATATTTTAAAACACGTCAATCTGAATTCCAATCTATCTAAATACTCGTAAAAATATTCTTCAATCTTTCCGATTCATTACAATTGACATCCAATAGGCGTACGCGAAAGTCTCCGCCGCGTTTAATTTTCACGATCTCGTATAAAGCTGAGAGTTTAATTAATCGCCGATAGTCGCGTCATGCGATCGCTATGGTCCAGCGTTCCCGCTTTTACGGCTCACGCTAGTTGCGAATAATATATAAACAAGCCAAAGCTCTCTCACTGTACAGACAGGCTCTTCGGATTTCATACGATACGTCTCGCGGAATTACGCGAGTTTCGCGTGTGTGGGTGTCGCGTAGTCTGCCGCCTGCGCGATTAGGCGACGTACGCGGGTGCGCATGAATCATCACGAGAAAGCGCGGGGCCCGCGCTTTACACCTGTTTACATGTCGAATACTCGAGCCACCCACGATCCGCGGGGAATCGATATCGCGAGGAGGACGATGGCCGGGCCGCGATGAACAGGACAATAAGAATAACATTTGTCGGGGGAGGGGCACGGGGGTGTGCGGAGGGATAAGAGAGGCTCGCTCTTAACGGCCGGTTCGGACCGGCAGCTTCGTGTGAGGTAACGACATAAAATCTCGAGATCTTACTTACACGCGCGCCTCGCGATGTCTCGCGCGCGGTAATCTCCGCTGCTCCCTTCCAATCCTTCCCTTCCCCTCCCCCCTCCTTCCCCGCGTGCTCGTACGCGTCTCGCCGACCTCTTATTTAAGCGCCACATTTCTTTCCCCGCGCGGAGACTGGCGGCCTGCCACATGGGGAAAGTGGACACCTAACTGTCGCCCGTACGAGCCCATTCGGCGTCGCAGCGCCGACGTTTATTGCGTATCCGAGTCGGCGGATTTGTTTAGCCGCGTGTATTGACGCGCGCGTACACGCCGGGCACACGCAGACCGCCACGTACACACGTCGCGCGCAACCGCCGCTCCATACCAGCCGCGTACGGATAACGAGAGGTGAATTTGTATGTCGCCGGACGGGCGGGGGGGGGGGGCGGAGAGGGTCGCGGCGGGGTCTGACGGATACCGGATAAGTCGATAACGACGCGGCGGGTCCGCCGTCGTTAAAGTCAAGATGAATTTTTCGGCGGTGTATATCTCTCCGCGATGCGACGCGCGCGGTTTCCAAGAGCCTTAGGATTACACGTAGGATGATTCTGGATACTTGACGACTGCACGTACATACAATAGAGATGTCGCTCTTGGGCGTAGAAACAAGTTCTTTCCGATTTTGACAGAATGAAAATTAAAAGAGAAACAAAAGAGCTCAATTGTCCAAATATTCTCCATTAGTGTTGATGATTTCACGTCATTTTTCAGACAGTTTGCGCATAGGAATTTGCCGGCTTTGAGACAATAAGCGTACAGTCGAAAGAATTAAATTTCCACATCTAATAAATCTCTCTTCATTTTTTTTGCATAATTAAATAAATTGAATTAAATATTTTACTATCGGTCTTCTAAAAATACGAAATACAGTTCAATCTCTGCGGCTTGATTGTATTTCAACCGTGCGATTCTTAAGACGCCGAGTCTCAATAACACTTCGTACGTTTTTTCAGGTCTACACACTCATTCGAGGGTGGTCCGGTGCAGGAGAGCCCCGGGGTTTATCGAGACTAAGCCAGACTGTTACCTACTACCATGACGGGGTCTCGAGATCTCTGGTGGCCGGTCGGTTCACGGCGAATTATCATACGCGAGGTAAGATTTGAATGGCGAGCTTATAAACGACGGTGTGCGCATCCTGCGCGCTCGAGAAGATACTGCCTTCGTGGCGGGCCGCGTCTCAATCCGGGCTCTTGAACCACTATTCGGCCAATTGCGTCGTCGCGTTTCTCAATCATTCGACTTGCGAAGGGCGCTAGAAACCAGAAAGCGCTGTTCGACGGCGCTTAGAGAACTCTATTATTCCCGAGCGAGAGGCGATAATGCACCTCTCCTCCCGAATATCTCACCGAGACGAAACGGCGCGGCGGGGAAAATGGACGGAAGACAATGGCGCTATATATAACTTTTATTCCGCCCACGCGTCGGCCGAGTTTGTCGCACGGGCGTGGGCCACACGACGGTTCACCAAATTTTACGAGGTACCTGCTTCCTCGCCGACATCGGCTCGTGCGCTACCTCGCTGGGTGAATGTCCTTCCAACTCATTTAATCTAATAACTATTGCGTTACGCAATAAGCAATTACACAAATTACATGAATTATTTGCATCCTATTTTTTTTAAGAAGAACATTCCAAAAATAAATAACATTTAATTTTTTGAAAGCATTGTATTGCAATCAAGCGAACGATAGAATTTTTCTTGTCAATGTAGCAAAGATAACATCTTGTTTTTCCACGGTGCACCTTTCACTGCGTGGACTAATGTATTCAACTTGATTAAATAAATAGAATCTCTTACAGAAATGCTTATATGCCTTACGATGCCGGTTTGAGAAGGTAAGCCTTATAAGTATACAAAGACCCGACCTCCCACTTGGCGGACGAGATCAGATAGTCCGTGATTGTCGTTTTTATGGTTCACTGACCAGTTACCGTCGTTAATAATTACTAATGACATTAGATAGTAATTAAAAAACAATTTTCTAGAATGCGACATTAATATTCGCCGAAACGCCTAATAGTTTTACATCGGCGATGAGACCAGCTCTCTCTCTCTCTCTCTTGAGTCACGAGAACGACGGTGCGAGTCGATTTTTCATCTCCTCGGCTGCTGGAACAAGGGCATTAGATTCCCATGCGGCGCTATTTCGCGGGCTTTATATTCCAAGCGGGTAGGAAGAGGCGCGAGAGGACGCGTCCACCATTTATCTCGTCACCGTCTCACCGGATCCCGCAGCCGGTGACATCGATAAATCAGCGCTATCGGGGCTTTCCATCAGCATTAATCACTATAATGATCCCCGCGCGCACTCCCGACAAGGATCCAAATACCGACGCTGACTCCAGGGCCCGAGATGTTCACTATTCGGTTATCTACCCGGGACCTTGGGTCACCACCGGTCATTATCAAGTTGTTATCTTCCCTACGAAAAGTCTCGGACATAGTCCGGCGTTCTCCACTGTCATCTCCCTCGCCCGCTACGCTCTTTCATCTCTACACGTAGCACCGTGTAGAGAATGCCGGCGGGAGGACATTGGTCCTTGAACCTGCTTATCTTCCACCGACCTCGAACCACCTGATTCCTCTCCCGCAACCAGCAACCTGTTGCTGAAGCGACAACCTGTTGATACACATGCCACTGCGCATTTTTCGATGAATTTTTTAATTCCAAATGATATATTTTGATAGTTAAAATATTAGAAACTGACATAATATTATTCTCACATTCTTTGTTTTTAAACTAATTAATTGAAATTGTAAAAATATGTGTACAATAGAGTTCTCGAAGCTCTTTTAATTGTTTGTACAGTAGAAAATCAAATTAAATACTTGAAAAATATATGGAATATTTTGACGCGGTAGAAACATTCGCACAAGTTTGAAAGGGATAAAGTAAAATGTAAAAGACACTGATGGGATAAAGTGCTCACCGCGTTGGTTTTTGCAGACGAAACTTTCGCGTTTCGCAAGAGTACGCGTTGCAGCGGGACCTTTATCGGCGGCGGCGTTCTCCGCAACTAGCCGCCATTGGTTCCATTTACGTCGCAGCCGGGCAGACCGAAAGAAACGAGATAAGTGAAGTCGAGCGCTGCGGTGCGCTCGCGCGCGCGGTTTATCTGCTCTCGCACGGAATCCCCCCTTTTTCATCCTACTCGCCCTCGAGGAAGAGTATTTTCTCTCCTCGTCGACTGTGCGCGGCGAAGTCGAGCGAGCGCCGTGCGGCAATCTGTCTCCTGGCGTGTGATAAATCAATCCTCCTCGCGGACGTGCGAGACGCGATCAGCGACCCTCGCACGTTCACCGCGCGTACGCATACACGAAGGATGGGAGGACGGGCGAGAGATAGGCAAATGTACGCGCGCACCGGCGAAACATACGGGCATGATCTAATAGGACGGTCCGGAAGACCGATGGCGTCCTATTGTCGCCGGTAACTAGCCAGTCACGGTCAATTTAATATCGATAACTTATGTCAGAATCGCGGCACCGACGACGGATGCTGGGGACCGCTACCGGAAGTCGCGCGTCTTCCTCGCGGTACACAGATATACTCGAAATAATATCCGCTTGTTTCCGCGGCACGTGACATTCGAGATTTTTTTTCACTGAATGAACTTAAGAAACGACTGATTTGTATTTCATAACGTGAAGGTGTTCACTGACAACAAGTTTATTCTGTTGATATGAAAAAAAAATGCGATTATATTGTTCTTCTGTGTTTCTCGAACCGTTTTCTCAAAGCCTTAAATGGAAATTCGCATTAGAAACGCATTATTTTGTTACGTAATTGTTTTGAAAGTTTGAAAAGGCGCGAGTCAATACATATATTAAACATCGTCAAATCATTACCGACTGGATTGGCGTGAAATCGAGATAATATCATAATTCGGACCGCATGGGGCTAAACTGTCGCGCCGGTTTTTTTTTACTTCGCAACCAGATCGACTCTCTCAGAGTCGGCGCGGAAACCAAGCTGATTTATGCACTCGCGCGTATCTTGTACTTCGGCGGGGAATCAATTACGCCGCGAACGCGTGATATCCCGACAACCATTTCCCGCACACAGCTCGCCACGGTATCGTTGCGGCGATTCCGCGACGAGCCTCGCCGCGGGGGCGTCCTTCGATTAACGATATCAATTAACTGAAAATAACTTGCCTTTTCCAGTTGCCGTAAAGCAGCCCGTAACGGCAGCGAACACTGTGATCGATGAATTATTACCACCGGATGTCCACGTTGATTACGGCAACGCTCCGGTGGTCGACCGATCCGCGCCCGTCCAATAAAATCGTTCATACCGCGTGCTCTCCCCTTCGATGCCACTTATCGACTCCTTCATCGAGCCTCCGAACGACGATGACGGTAGTCTTGCGCAACCTGTTTGAGGTTCCACCTTCGCGACCTCGAGTGCATCCACCGGAGCACGAATTATCCGTCGGCACCTAGCACGCATGATTGAGCGATCACGGTCTCGCTGGAAGAATGCGAGCACGATCATCGCGATCATACAAATGCGTTTCGAAAGGAGAATAAAACTGTACGGTTCATTTAATTAAGATTAGAGTGTGAAAATTTGAATGCATTTTTGTCGCCGATGCGAGAAGATCATGTTTGATAAAAATAATAACGCGACAGTCCCTTGCGTGTGTAATTTCGCAGCTTGGAGGTACGGGCGGCGATCAGGTTTACCGATATGCACCATTGCTTGGCTCTGCAAGGCTCATTACCTCCACAACACCCGGGATACATACGTATCGGCCGGTGCCTTTTTAATAAGAACTCTTCGGCCGAGAAAGCAAATACACGAGACACGTTGATAGACGTTTTAATAGGCCACATTATTTCAATAATAGCCAAGCCATACATCTTGGACTATGAAACGTACGCATTACGCATTCAGAAAGTGCTCATTTAAGCGTAAGCGCGAGTGTTGCAGATCATTACGGCGCGATAGCTGCGCCGCTCTTTTCCACCGTGTTTTCTCCGAATACCGCGCGTTATTGCAATCGTTAGCGGTAAACATCTTTCATAATGAGAAGTGAAAAAGCATGTTATCATTAGCAACGGTTGACAGGGCCGAGCGGACAATAATGCCGGCGCGTCAATCTTCTCGGATACAAAGTCGCGATATTACCCGATCGATAAAGCCACGTGTGTAAGACAAATCAATGCTATCACAATAAGCCCTTCTGCCATCCGCCCCGGTCGACGTCTCTTTCGCCTCCTCCAGCGTGGCGCATACGCGGAGGAAGCTCATGAATATTCAGCGGACAAGTTGTCCGCGAGACGCTCGCGGGGTCCAGCGGCTGACGTACACCCTTGTTGATCATAAGTGGGTTTGTTTCGCTGATTGTTGTCGCATCGCGCTGGGGTCTCGCGCGCCGGGCCCGGGGGGGGGGGTCGGGTCGTTGAATATGCATCGCTCCGGGGCCCGGCACCGCTTGCGTGCCCCGCGATATGGCGCTCGGCTTATATAGGTTCTATAATTTGCACCGCGCCGATAAGCCGGAGGTCTGTCTGCCCGTCGTGCCCAGGCACTCGATCGCGCGCGCATCCGGCACCTCGAAACGGCTGCGTAACTCCGAGGTGTGTCGACCATCGTTCATTCAGCGCCGCTTCGCGTGACGCGAGTGTGCCGATATTCTAAACTCGGTATCTCTTTCCGTAATACTGATATAAACATCGTATTAATTTTTTGGTAATAACACCGATTTTAAATCGTAACGTTGAATCTGAAATGATTTGATTGTGCAACATGCAGACTACGTGAGCGAAATCGCTCTCTCGCGTACGCTTCCAACTTATTACTTTTTGTTTTACCTTCTTCGCTTCTTTAGATAACATCGACGCGAACGGTACGTTCGATCGTGTAGCGCAGTGGCCATCTGCGAAGGAAGTGACCGGCGCGTCAGATTGGATTCGTTATCTGTCTCGAGACCGCGGATTTTACCAGCCAACGCACAGCGGAAGATCGTAGAAGCTTTCCCATTGACAATTAATTATGCATATGTGTCTCTAGACGGATAGTCATCGTGTCGATTGGTCGTCTCGCTCTGTCTCGGGTCCTTTGGCTTCCCTCGGCTTTTCTCGG